AAAACACTGGAGCAGAGCAGTCAGGTGATCCAAGTCTTAGTTACAGCTCCATCGCTATAGCTGTAAGACCTTCACAAAGCTGGTTAACCTATCCAAGTATCAAGTTTCATCACATGCAAAATAAAAGGTTTGGACAATTCAAGGCTGGCAAATGTGTGCCATTTAGTGTCTGGTGCAAGGGAAGTCTCTGCAGTGTCACTTTTTTCTCAGATATGGTATTATAACATTTCTGAACTCTGCTTTCTACACAGTCACCACAAATACATTAAGGTTATACCCAAAATGAAAATGATTTGTCATTCCACCTGGATTCATGCCGTCTTATTGCTGCAAGCAGCAGGACTATGATAGGAGTGCTTTAGTGTGAGAATAAATTTTCTTCCAGAACAAAAAGTGTGTTTACTAGTAACTCAGATTCTAAAGTCTAGCATAAGGTTTAACTCATAGCAGTTCCCCACAAATGTTAGCGGAATAAATAATTGCTACATTTCAAACTTACTGGGCACTTTGCATGTACTACCTTTCATTTTTATGATCTTTGAGGCATTTTAATGATGATAAAATAAAACTTGTAGAAATTAAGAAATGTATATGTAATATATACACACATACATGTACACACATACATATACACTCCTACACGTGGAAGTTAAACATACATACATATGTATAAGCGATCTGCAGCCATGGGGCTCAAGTTTTATTCTGTTTGAATATATGACTATATTATTAGCCAGATATGACTCCAAATGCTTAGCAAGAAGGACTTAACCCTCAAATCATCATGTTCCATTAGCCAAAAGAAACAAAATAATGAATAAAATATTCAAATTGTATTTGCAAACAATAGAACATGGCTCTAGTTAACTTAAGTCAAATAAAGATTTACTTTCAAATTAAAAGTACACTGGGATCCTCACAGAATAAAGAAGGGTAAAAGCCAGGTAATGTGAGGATTTAATATTCTCATAGTCCCTTCAAAGCTTCATTCTGGGGATAAATCAACTTTCTATGCTCAAGTTCTTAGGAGCAAACTTTGGTCCTGCAGTGACTTGAGGTTGGAATAAGAAGAGGCGTCCTGTATTGACAGCATGAAATGGGAAAAGGTGTTTTCCCATGGTAAGAGTTAGGTTCCACCAAAGGGGGAAAGAAAATACTTTAAAAGGCAAGCCATTATAGTTTAAAATTTCCAAGGCTTCCTCTCTGCCCTAACAGGAAGTAATCTTTTAAACAGTTGCTAATGGAGGCTACTTTAGTCTGAGTCATCAGAGAAGCAGAGTTCAAGATGCAATTAAATGTACAAAGATTTTATTAAAAAGGCATGCTCTCAATGCAACCTTGGATGCCCTGGAACATCAATAAACACTCCTGTCCTTAAAACGCAATGACTTGTAAAGTTCATAGGAAGAGCCAAAAATGTACCATTATCAGACACCAATCGAGTAAATTTGGATCCACATTATTACAATGGAACCCTGGGCTCTAAGAGACTGCAAACAACTTTGCTCTAAGTTCTGACCTGAAGCTTGTAAAGTGGATTTGAATTGTGACTCAATATATCCATGACTCAAAAAATCATCACCAAATAATAAGATGAATCACCAAAGTCAGGATCCAAGTAAAAACCTACATCTTCTAAGAGTCCCATATATCCCAGTTTCTACAGTCAGATCTTGACTAGAGAAAAGAAATATTTGAAAATATGGAAGTGTCTGAAGAGGCTATTTTCTGAATTTTTACACTTAGAATTTTTGAGAAAATTAGACAAGCTGACCTTGGCAGAGTCAAGTTTTTAAGGATATAACATATCCCTAAAATGTGATATGATAATATTATATAGTAATGTATAATCTACATATACAATATAGCATATACATACTGATAACAATATCATATACTGTATATACTATCTTCTAGGAAATTTAAATTTGTTTTTACTCATTTAATTTTCCCAGCAACAATAGGATATAGAACTTTTAGAAGCCCATTGGTATGTGAGGAAAATCAGGTTAAAAAACTTGCCAGGTACTTAAAAAGCTAGACATTGATCTACCATTTGATCCAGCAATACCACTCTTGGGGAGATACCCAAAAGACTGTGACACAGGTTACTCCAGAGGCACCTGCACACCCATGTTTATTGCGGCACTATTCACAATAGCCAAGTTATGGAAACAGCCAAGATGCCCCACCACTGATGAATGGATTAAGAAAATGTATCTATACACAATGGAATTTTATGCAGCCATGAAGAAGAATGAAATGTTATCATTCGCTGGTAAATGGATGGAATTGGAGAACATCATTCTGAGTGAGGTTTGCCTGGCCCAAAAGACCAAAAATCGTATGTTCTCCCTCATATGTGGACACTAGATCAAGGGCAAACACAACAATGGGATTGGACTTTGAGCACATGATAAAAGCGAGAGCACACAAGGGAGGGGTGAGGATAGGTAAGACACCTAAAAAATTAGCTAGCATTTGTTGCCCTCAACGCAGAGAAACTAAAGCAGATACCTTAAAAGCAACTGAGGCCGACAGGAAAAGGGGACCAGGACCTAGAGAAAAGGTTAGATCAAAAAGAATTAACCTAGAAGGTAACACCCACGCACAGGAAATCAATGTGAGACAATGCCCTGTATAGCTATCCTTATCTTAACCAGCAAAAACCCTTGTTCTTTCCTATTATTGCTTATACTCTTTCTACAACAAAATTAGAAATAAGGGCAAAATAGTTTCTGCTGGGTATTGAGGGGGTGGGGGAGAGAGGGAGGGGGCGGAGTGGGTGGTAAGGGAGGTGGTGGGGGCAGGGGGGAGAAATGACCCAAGCCTTGTATGCACATATGAATAATAAAAGAAAAAAAATTATAAAAAAAAACTTGCCAGGTTTCTGTAGAAAGTAAGTTCTAGAGTCAGATCTGAACCCAGGTACTCTCTTCAGAATCATGCTCTCAAGTAGTCCGCTGTACTGCTCTGATACCTTCTCTGGTAGTCATGGAGGATAATACAGTCTCAACAAAACACATGGAGAGCATCAGACCACACCAGGAATCCCTCAGTCCAGTCCCAGAAACAATAACATCAGGCTCACAATTTGTGAATTCAGCCAAGCACCATGATTTCAACCATATGATCATGCTGAAAGACAAGGTTTCTCAAATTGTGGGTCACTAATAGAAATCACAGCCACTACTTTTAAAATAAAAAAGAATAGAAAACACCAGATGGTATTACACAAATAGAAGTAAATTTTGTGTGTGAGTATTGGATTCAGAACTGATTTCTTACCTGAGAGTTACAGTTTAAAAAAAAACAAACTTGAGAGCTTGTATTCCAAGAACCACTAAATCATTCCATTCAGCACGAGTAGCTCTGTTGCCCACTTAGGGATCATTAACAATAACCATTGACCTTGGGCAATCAACATGTTTTAAGTGAGAATTCTTGGAGTTCCATCTGGATCACATAGGTTGTACTCAGTTCTGAGGTTCCCACTTAGCCTGCGCATAAGAAGGTAATAAGGTAGGATATGGAGTTTTGAAAATTAATCCTGGAGAATCCCAGGAGAATTAAGACCATTGGGCATTTAACCAGCCATTTTGTCCTCTGCCAGCACAACTGAAAGAGCATTCATCCTCATTAAAACTCTTGATACTGAGAAAAGCAACTCAAAGAACCAAGGTTCCACTTTCATTTAATATTCCTTTCCCTGCCTGCTTAGTGCACCAGCCTGACATTTTTCTGTGCTCTTATGGGCATATATCTAGCTTCCTCCCACAGATCTTTTACATGGCAAGAACATTACGGACTCTAAACATTATTCTTCCCCCACAGATGTCAAAAATGCATGAGCATGCTGTGTGTGCTGGGCTGTGGGTGGCAAAGGAGGAAAAAGCTAAGGGAGTTCTAGAGATAATCAATTTATTTGATGCAATTATCCATGATCGCCAAACTCTGAAGGGGTCGCAGTTATAAGAGAGGTCTCTTAGTGCACCAAGCAGTCAGCTACATTTTACTGCACACCCACTGTAGCCATGCCCATGTCAGGTATGAGGAGAATTATGGCCTTTTGCACTTAAGGAGCTTGTAGTTCCATGGAGTGACAAAGCAAACAGTTGTAGTGTAATACAAGTAAAGCAATTCATACCACAAGCAACCAAGAATTAATGTTTAAAAATTTTTTGAAGTAAAAATTATGTTTTTTTCAATTCATGAAAAGAGTATAGGCTTATAAAATATTCAATTACTTATACTCCCTTTGAATTCATTGACACACTGCTTTTATGTATAAAAATGAATAAAATGTATTATAATTGTAATAATCATCTTTTTAAATAACTCTCACTTAGAATTTCCTTCTGTTAATTAAACAAATTAGTAACGATAGTAATATTTCCCTTGGTCAAAAAGAGCATGGACTATAGTGGAGACACAACCACACAGTGGTTTTTCCAGGTGAGATGCACAGTAGACACAGCTGCTGAGTTTTAGGGGTGAATATGAAGGAGTCCTCTTTGATTTCCCTCCTATTCTTCTCACCAAAGCCTCAATAGCAATCCTTTCTTTTCAACCATTGAGAAATACTATAAAATCTGAAGTCCTGTGCATTTATGTTCATTTTAGGTATGTGTGATGGAGAAACTCATTATCTCCCAAAGTTGTAATATCTGAAATTTGAATAGTGTTTTTGCATAGATTTGCATCTCACAAGAATCTCATATAGTACACTATGCAGGCTTTAGCCTAGGGAAAGAGACTGTCTCAAGTTTTGTTGGCCAGTTTGTAAAGATATAACACTGATGCCTAGCTTATGTGATTTCGAGTTTAACCATCTTTCAGGAGGCACAGGTGACCTTGTGGTTTAGTGTGACCATTGTATCTACCCTATTATTCAACAACAGATAGTTTTCGCAGATCTTTAGAAATGCACAGTGTTTAAAGAAATCTGATGTGAAGATTCAATACCATAGTATAACTCTGGATTTGTGATTTTCCTACAGTTCACACTCAACAACCAGATGCATCACCTCCTAAAACCACTAAGTTACTCTCAACAGCAGAAACAACTCCAGACATCTTGCAGTTTCAAGGTACGTTTTTTATGATTCAGAGTGGAAACTTGCTCTAGTTTACCAGCAAACCCTACCAATCATGACTCCTACCCTCAAAACAGAGCTCTTCAGAATTTGCAATACCATGCCTATAAATCAGAGGTATCTCCTTTCGCGGAAGCAAAGGCAGTATTGTGAGAATTGGCACACATTAACCAAAGGTGACTTGTTTTTGTTTTTTTTTTCTTTGTTAAAATTACAGGTACCAAGGATGGAAAAAATGCAACCTCTTCATCAAACATTCCCTCTTCTTCCAGTGAGTAACGTACACATCTCTGTCTGTGGTAGTAGATGTGCAGAATATGAACGCTTGAGTGATTTATAGAGGGAAGGGATTAGGTTATGGAGAACCTTTTCTTAACTTTACTTAACCTGCAATTCTGTTATAATACGATATTAACAGCTGCCTGATTTGAGAATGTCCTATAAATCCCATCTTAATTAGCACACCTTGGCAATTTCTTTCTAACCTTACTGCTAAGCAGTTATCATCAAAAGCCAAGGATAACTTGATGGGGCTAGATTGAGACAAGTCAACGGGAAGGCCCTATACCAATGAATTGTGCCCAAAGCAGTATGCTGTGTACCTTGAATTTATTCCATCTTATTTGTCAATTAAGTATTTTTAAGTAATAAATTACAAAAAAACCCACAGATTTTTCCCCTTGACAGAGCATTATCTTAATGTTAATAATGGCCTTCAAGAAACATTCCATTTAAGCTAAAACATATATATGCTATATGGTATATATATATGACACTAATGACCTAACTCAAGATCTATTACAAAATCAGCAGAGAGGCAGAGATCAGAAAGATCATGGGTTCAAGGCTAGCCTGGACAACCAGTAAGTGAGATCCCATCTCAAAAAAATAAGCCAGGCATGGTGGAACATGGTTGTAATTCCAGCTAAGCAGGCCACAAGTAGGAAGATTGCAGTCCCAAGATGGCCCTGAGCAAAAACATGAGATGTTATCTGAAAAATAACTAAAGCAAAAAGGGCTTGAGGCATGGCTGAAGTGATACAGTGTTTGTCTAGCAAGTACAGGCCCTGAATTCAAGCCCTAGTATTCCTGAAAAAGAAAAGAAATCAGCAGAATGAACAAAAAGCAAATATTTAATCCTGACAGGGGAAGTGTAAACCACCTTACTAATGAATTGGGGAACCATTGTCACCCCTGATAGCCATGTGAGGAGCAGATAAGAATGCCTAACAAAGATGTAACCTTAACTTCTAGCCGACTAACTGTGTTCCTGTAACAGCTTCTTTGCTTTCATTGCTGTACTTTCAACATGGGAAACAACTATCAGGAAAAAGAGGCGGATAAATTTTTAAAGAACAATAACTCTCCCCTTAACAAAAAACAGGAAAAACTCACCCTGAGTTATCACGGCAACACCCTCCCGATAGAGACACGTGCACACACATGCACACCTCTCTTGAACTATGATGTTCACTTTCTTTAGCTCATATCCAATGTGACATCTTAATGTTATTTTATGTGCTTTCTAGTTTTAGACAATAAAATAGGATATCTGTGAGTGTTTTAGAAAACTGGCATTAGGACCACAGCAGTCCCAAATGAGCTATGTTTTCTTGAGTAACTTTATTATAAGATACTAAAAAATATAATAGAGAGAATGTGATTCTAGCTATACCCTAGAGAACACTTCCCCTCTAGTCTTCTGTCTCCTCACTCCCCCAATCTCCAGAAAAATGGGGGAGAGATCTCCCTGAGATTTCAAAGTTTGTTTCAGAAAGGCTGCAAGACTGACATCAAGTGGATATGTCAGAAATGACAACTAGAGCAAACCTCTAGTCAGATAAGTCTTTGCCTAAAATATGGTATTCTTAATCGAATGATGTTCAAAGAAGAAAGAAAGTATGCATGCTTTTGCTTCGTTAGTAACCTGTCTATAAGAACTTCAGTAGCTACTCTAATTGACACTGTTTCCAATACTTTTTAGGTGTTATTTTGCCGGTGGTTATTGCTTTGATTGTTATTACACTTTCAGTATTTGTTCTGGTGGGTTTGTATCGAATGTGCCGGAAGAAAGACCCAGGTAGGTAATGGTGTTTTATTTTGTTTTCCTGAAAAGAGAATAAATATTTACTCAGTCTAAGCTTGAACTTAGACTGTTAGAAGGATGAAAAGTTATATAGAAAGAAATACCATATTGCTTGATCACAAAAGTAGAGGAGACAAGGCAAAGAAATTCATTGAATGTGGTTAAATGTAAGGAATTATGATTATATGCTATAAAATAAAGATAAATTCAAATATAATTATCAAATATGGATAAATTCTCATTAATGAAATAGGCCCAACTTTGTGAGTAGCCAAGGGGATATGATAGTAAAGATTATAAAATGCCATGCCTGGTCTATAGTTCAAGATTTTTTCCCACCCTTTTATATTACAGAGAGTAAAAGGAGGGCTTGTTAAGGTATTAGCAGCCTATAACTAAAGTTATTAGGATCCTATAATTTTAAGAACAGTGTTCTGTGACTTATCTCCCTCCTTGAAGGCTCAGCTTCCTCCCAATTATGGTATCTTCCATGACTGTGCTATATTTTTATTCTTATTTTAAATAAAATTTCTATTTTAGCATAGATTTAATTTACAGACAATTTGCAAAGTTAAAGAATTCCCATATATTCCCCACCTAGATTTCCTTATTATTAATATCTTATGTTAGAATGGATATTTGTCATAATTAATGAACCAATATTAAAAATTTTTAAGCAACCAAATTCTCTACCATCGTCACATTTCCTTGTCTTTATTCAGTTGTTTTCCTGCTCCAAGGAGTTTGGCTTGCTTTTTACTCAATTCTTCCACTGTGCTGCTCACTTTAGCTTCCATGCCTAAGCTATCCCCGCCCCCCACCCTCCCCACCGTACCTGTATTCCAACCCACCTTCTCATTCCAGACCCCTGCCCTGGTGGCGTTATACACCATCATGTGTCTTTGCCTTCATCCATAAGATTCATTCTTCTGAAATGTCCAGACTATCTCTTAGCTTTTGCAACACGCTCCAACTTATCTTATCAAATACCAATTCATTGTACTTTTTTATAACATACCACTTCTTCAAGGAGAATGGACTGATGTTTCAAGTCTAATTCTAAAGATTTTGATATCATTCACTATACTGTAGTGTAGTTACTTCTTTCTGTGTCTGTCTCCTCTGCAAGTCAGGCAACGCTTTCAAGTCACAAACCACACTGTCCACATTGCATTGTACCTAATATACAGCAGACCCTTACTATAGGCTTGTTGACTTAAAAATTTAAATGTCCAGTAAAATAGAATGCTTCCTTTCCCTACTTTGTACCTAAATATTTCACTAACAAACTTCTACCTAAGTCTCATAAACTGTTAAAAGGTAAAAAGCACTTATTTTTATAGGGAACAAAAGCCACACTATTCTTGGCTTACTCTATGCACAAAGTGCCCCCAGGACACTAATGGATATTGTTCAGTCCAGCCACTGACCATGCATCTCACAAAAAGCTGACAGATGATCATGACAGTGCAAGGAAGAATTAGGAAACCAAAACGCAGTGTTCATTTTAGTTCTAGGTAGGAAAAAAGAAAATAAATCAATGCCTTTTCCTTTAGGACTGAGTGAATAAACTTCTTAATAATATCTGAAGTATATTTTATTATGCAGTTTCCAGAGATGAAATAGCATTTTAACGAATTAGCTTAATTTTTAAAAAGTTTTGATGCCACCAATTCTTTTTTGAAGGGCAATCACCCATCTAATTTGTGACCTGTGAATATTCAGTATATTGGACAGGTAAAAATTAGTATGTGAACTCCATTTGTAAAAACACCTTGCATTTTAAAAAATGCTTTATTTAGGAAGATTTGAAAAGACATTGTTGAAAAGTTTACATATTATACTTGGATGTGTAAACTTCTTACCACTATAAAGAGTTATTCTGAAGATGTGTATTACTCTAAAACCAAGTTTGGCAATTATATAATTTGCCACATCTATTTGGTTACTGCTAACTTTTGTTTTCCAAACAGAATTTATAGCATTGTTATCATTAAACTAGAGTCGTTAAATACCCGCAGTTAATCACTCTTCAAGTATGTGGATGAGACTTCATTAAGTTCAGAAAATTAGTAAGCCCACTCTGCTCTCTGGAAGACAAAATGAACAGAGATTTGAAATTAAGCTTATTTGAATAATGTTGAAGCAGGCTGAGCTTTAACACAAGTTAGCAAGGTATATATGCAAGAAAGTTAGCTGTTGACATACATCTGTCTGCTAAGGAACCTTAATCAGGACAGTATGTTAAGGAAAAATATTCAAACAATCATACATAGATCATCAACTGATTTTGAACAGAACTGTGAGGTGCACAGGGGATACTGTATATGACACTTACTGGAATAAAAAAAAATGCTGTTAAAACCCTACTTATAAGACCGGGAATGTGTCTCAAGTGGTAGAGTACTTGCCTAGCAAGCAAAAAGCCTTGAGCTCTAACCTCAGTAACACAAAAGAAAGAAAGAAAGAAGGAAGGAAGGAGAAAAGAGGGAAGAAGGGAAGAAACAAAAAAGGGATAAAAGAAAGGCAGGAAGAAAGAAAGAAGGGAAGAAAGAAAAAACCCTACTTGAAGTTAGGCCCCATGGATATGGCACCACGAATTGAACCCTAGGGATTAAGAGTTATGATTGTCATCAATTGGGTGACAGAAATAGGAGCAGCCAAAGTGTTTGAGGAAGCCACGGTCTATATAAAACAAGAACAGTCAAATCCAAGAGAGTTATATTCAAAGGGCATATCCCAATGACAAGAGCTAGATAGATCTGAAAAGAAATCCAAGAGACAGGAGTTGAGTAGAATGGAATAAAATCAGGACTATAATGGAAGGGGGGTTGCTTAATCCCCCACAGTAAACAGTTCAGTGCAAGTTTTGACCACCATCATCACTCCAGAGAGGCATGTCCTTGTGCAGAGTGAATCATTCTCACTTGAATCAAAGGTGTTTTCTGTCAGACCTTGTGAGCAGCCTGGCAGAGTATACAGAAGACCAGTTACAGTTAGTAGCCTTAGTGATATTTTGCAGGGCACTTTTGAGAGGCTAAATTAGTGAGCTTAAGATGCAATTAGAAACAATACTTACATTGTAACTCACCACAGATATAGTGATTTTTGCCCCAAGAAAGAGCAATGCAGAAAGGCAATGTAGAAAATTCAGTTCTTTGCTATGAAAAGGTAATTCAATACTTTGAGGAGAAGTTTCTCAGAGATATTAAGTAAACTGAAATTTTCTAGTGTCTGTGGCATGTGCAATAATGGACAGTAGTTTTTCAAAGTAATATGAAGCTGTGAGATCAAAATTAATTCAGAACCAAGTTCAGCAGAGCTGATCTAACTAGGACTGACTATCCCATGACTGCCAGGATAAATATTAACCATACCTAAGGAAATACCTCTAGCTTTAGAAAAAGAGTTTTAGCAGAGCAGTAGGGGTGTGAAGTTTAATAACAATTCTTTCCTTTCCTAGGCACACCAGAAAATGGACATGATCAGTAAGTAAGGCCACATCACTTTCTTTCTTTCTTTTTCTTCCAGGCAGTTCTGACCCTACAGTTCATAGAGGGAAAGTGTTGGCTTTTTTCTTTTTCCAGTTGTGTAGAAAGTACCATCTATAGTGTTTGGTTGTTTGTCAGAGCTCTCTCTATTTAACAGAGAAATTCCAACTGCTGGAAGATTGCTCTTTAAGAATGGATGGAATGATAAAATGGGAAATAAAAAGATGAAATGAGAAAGTACAAGAATGGACATATCACTGAGGGAAAAATAGCATAAAAAATATTGCTAGAGTTTTAAGATGGTTTTCCAGTGAAGGATCAGCATACTTACCAGGTAGGGGAAAATTGTGCCTGTGTGTTGAGCCAGTTCTGACTGGCTTTTCCTTAACAGAAGATGATCATTCTGTGTTGACTTTGGCAAAATAAACAAAGCACTTGTTAGCAATCCAGGCAACTGTTGTAACCAAGATGATACAAAGGGACATGATGAAATGCTTTCAAGTCAAAAACAAATTCTGTGGTGAAGTTGTCTTTGTTGGTCTGAATTTGAAGCCTGCAAACTGTAGTTTTGAATTTCATTACATTGCAAGTATTAGAAATATCCCTAGATCACCTACCAATCTGGATTAGAAATGGAGGCTCTTGAGATGCCCAAGGGTTTGAAGATGTTTGAATCTGGGAAGGGATAGGTGGGAACTGTTGGTTAAAATAGACAGTTCAGATACTTGCACTGCAGTGTCTCAGGACCTCATGGAAAGGAATATCCCCAGAAGTCAGCATCAGCCCAAAAGGTTTGGAAACATTTCTATATCTCCCATCTCATAATTTAGAAATGGACACTTACGCAATGTGGATCTTGTAATAAGAGTTCCCTTATCATCCAAGTGACACTTACTTATGTTAGCTGAGAATCAGTGCTATATCAGAGTGATGGGGATTTTTGGCTTGATTCCTAAAGAATTGGAAAATGATGTTTTAAAAAAGTACACTTATTTATATGTGAATAAGCACAGGTTTTCCATAGAAGCACAGCACTAAAGACTATAGTGCTAACTTACTGCTTTCTGTTTCAAATAGACCTCAGTCTGATAAAGAGAGTGTGAAGCTACTCACTGTTAAAACAATTTCTCACGACTCTGGTAAGTTTCCAAACTATGAGATGAAAAATGGCCATTTTGAAATCTAACTATAACTTTGGATTTTGTTCATGTGAAAAATAACCAAAAGAGCATAAATTCTTTAGAAATAGTCAATCAGTAACTCTCAATAAGTACAGATTTCTTATATGAAGGAACAATGAGCCCCTGAAATATAGTTTTTATAAGATTATTGGACTATCTGGCTATTAGTGGTTGCTTTCTACAGATACCTAGATGTGTTCTAATGAATAAGTGATGATTGGAAAATTTCTTATCCTGCAGATTTGGCAGAAAGAACATTAATTTTGTTAACAGTAACAAATCATTTTGTTAATGATTTTTAAAACATCATTACTGTTGTTTTGTTTCATTTTTGGCAATGGCTGTATATAGTAAATTGGAACCAGAATCTATCAGTCAATTAAAATGCAAATAATGTTCCATATTATTTCATATAATTTTAGTTGAACTTCCCAATAAAGATAAAGCACAATTTCCAGTTGATAAAATCTGCATTTTTCTAATTTCTTAGTTATATTTATTTGATTTGAAGTATAAAAGTCTTTCAAGATATGAATATAATTTATATCAGTTACATTTTATAAATTATAAACAATAAAAAATGAGATTCTAGATAGATTTTAAAAATAAAAAGCACAGAGTTTTTTCTTTTTTTGAGTAGAGCAAACATTTAAAACATTGATATCACTGAAATTATGTTTCAAAAATGATCCTTGTAACTATAAATATCAAGGTACTTATACATTTGTAATATTCAATCCCCCAAATTTTGCTTCTTTAAAATAGTCCCAGAATATATATGTTATGCATAGTGAGAGCAATGGAATGATAAACTACACTATAAATGTTTCCATAGCTAAAAATAATTTTGTAATTCAAAAAGCTATAAATATTGCCCCAAATCAAAAAAACAAAACAAAACAACAACCAAAAAAACAAGCTATCAAAGTCTGGTTGTGGTTCCAATTTCATGCAGGACATTCAGTCTAGAACAAAGTACAGCAAGCAAATTGAAGACTTGAAGAGCATGGACCCCCAAAGCCAGCACAGACTCACCCGACCTCTCCTGTGAGCCAGAGGGAACGCTTTCCTTCTTGTATCTCTTAACCTCTTTGGTACATATGTTTCCTGTATGCCCACACTATTCTTTCTCTCCAGAGTAACCCCATTTAAAAAAAGCAAAGGAGCAAATAATCATTCATAGAGTAGTTAGAATCCACTCATAAGTTTCTCATGGCTACTCACCAGCCTTGAGTAAACAGCCAGGCCTATTCTACTAGGTGAGGGAAAACAGAAGCTTATATGTGGATTAATCTTGAGTCAGCTCATGAGGGACCCTAGCATGCCTAGAACACTGATCAAGAAGTTATCAGAACCTAGCTGTGGTTTGCAAGCAAGCATCATGGTAATTTCATGCATGTTCTCTTTATCCCCTTAAGGGAATTCAACCACATGCTCTACAGTCTCCTAAGCTCTTGGGGTAGGAGCTGGATGCTGCATAAGAGCTATGTTTCCCCCTGTGGAGGGAAGTGGGATCAGGACCACCTCAGTATTCTACACCCATTTCTAGGGAAATGACACCTGACACCAGAATCATGGTTTTCTGGAGGGAAAATCCAAAGAACTCCTCTTGCTTTTTGACTATGAGTTGAAGAGCAGACAATTCTTTAGGGCCCAGGGAAAATTCTACCTATGTTCTCTCCCACCCTGGTAGTGACTACAGTAATAGGTAGAGTAGCCCATGGTGGATAGCTTTCTTTCTTTCTTTTTCATGCTAAGTGTGCTTCCTTTGCTTTCTAAAGGACTTGTCGGGTCACAGGTCTAAGAGGGAGACCTTCTTGTGGAAATAATAGGATATACCATTACTTTTATTTTTGCAGCATCTATTTAAGAATCACACTGCTTTCAACAAAATAATCTTCAAAATATCGCCCCTGTGTGTTATCATGGAAATATATGGTGATAGAGCAAAACTGAAATTGATGATTCACAGTAGATGTTAATAGCTCAAATTAGTAACCTAAAGCTTAATAATCTCCAAACAATCTTTGGACTACCACAGCTTTTACTGGTCTATGATTATTGAGACTCTATTGCTCCTTAAGTTTTCTCAATCAAATCCCTTCCCACTATCTTTCAAAACTTATTCAAATATGTTTTGTTTCTAAAAGTATGCTTACCACACTTAGCAGAAGTTACATTAGTAAAATTATTTTTTATCTAATATCTCAGGGCCAATAATGACATCTTTCCTAAAATATAATGAGGATAAAACCTGAAAATAGATTTCATATAAGTTTAGAGGTCTTGCCCAGTTTTCATACTTTCACCTATAAAAACATTTTTAAAGCTTTTTAAAATACAAAAATCATTTGATAGAACAGATGTCTAACCACTTACCAATCAGAATCGATGGTTCTTATAAATTAAGGACCTTGTTTGTTTCAAGGTCTAAGAAATATGGTGTTAATTGATATACATAAGTAGGTAGTACAATGAAATTTGTGCTTCAGTGACCATCACAATTCTTTGGAATGGTCATTACTTCAATATAGAAACTCTGGACTTTTATCTCAAAATGAATTATGTCACTGTAGAGGCCAATAAACAATGTTTCCAAGGAAACAGACCTTTGTAGCAATCCACTTCAGGGAAAATGCCAGTGGATGCTAAATTTTCTGAGTTTCTAGAAGGCTTGATGAGCCATGGTTTCACTGGCAGTCATTTTTCCTGGGAAGATATTTTCTTACTCCCAAATCCTCCTCTGCTGATTAGGTCTTGGTGTTCATCCATCCATACTTCCTTCTTTCTCTAAGTCTGTTCTCTTTAAGCAGGGCCTTTCACTGAAAATGTAACCCATCCATGTTTAAATTTAGAACTTTCTTTAATATAAAAGAAAAAACCTATTACAGAGTAATAAGCATGTGCTTTCAAAAAAAATTGAGCACTGAGTGTGACAGATCAAAGATTTCTTTGTGAGGACATATCACCTCCCACTTGGCTCTAATAAGAAATCTTGCCAAGTTAAACATCACCATAGTTGACTGCAAAATATATGTGTGACATTGACATGATGTATTTTAAACATGATTCTCATGCTACATCTCATAAAGTTAATATATGTAACATATTATACATATATTATACATTATACATAATATATGTAACATATATGTAATATATGTTTAATATGTAAGGCTCTAAGCATTATAAAAGAAACTGTTTAAACTACTTAGAGAATGCATAATTACATACAAGAAAGAAAACACTCTATCACTGAATTTAGTTTCAAAACATAGATTTTTGAACCACTGGGAGCAAGGCAATACAGATCTGAATTCATTATGATATTTCATTGCTTAGAAAATGCTGATAAATACTTGTCACCTAAGATTAAGTTCAAAGCCCTTAGCACATCTATAAGGACTTCCATGATGTGTTAGCCTCTCTAGCCTTCTCCAGCTCAGTTTTTAATACATACCCCAGGATTTCATCCATCATCTCTCCTGTCTTCCTCCCTCAACCCCAGCTCTTCTGAAAGAGGAAGAACACAGTCCTTTGCACTCCCTTGTTGTACTCACTCTCCCTTCCTCTCCAACATGGTAATTACACATTATTAGTGCATCACTACCACACCAGTACTAATTAGTATACTGTGGTAATTGCTCATTAAATGCATACTCATGTTTTTACTTTTTTGAGTATTTATTTTAACAAACAAAATTTACTAACAAGAAGATATGAACTGAGCAAAACATTCACAGATTTAAAAGCCATGCATAGATTTATCTTCTGTGTTCTCAGCCCTTCACTATTTGGTTCATGCTCTGCATTTCTACCAAGGCTTCCTTTACTTTGGCAAATTAATATGCATTAATTACATGTACTATTCTTTATGGCATAAACTATCATTTTAAAACTTGGCCACATTGTGCATAACACAAAACAGAAGAAAATAGAGTGCACGATAGAATTTTATATCTTCAGTCTAACACTCTCCTGACAGAGCTATTTCGGCAGGCCACAATAGAATTTTAAATTACCTGTGAAACACAACCTTGGCGCAACTACTACTGACATTTGGTATATTTCCTCCCAGTTGTTTTTTCTCCAGGTCTATGTGTGTTTCATTTGCTTTTACCATAGCTATCATTATAGGAACTGTTACTGAAATTATACTGCTATTGAATCTTTCTCACAGTGTCTATTCTAGCGTCTATTCTTCATTAGATAGACCTTAAAGGAAGGTATTAAGAATTGTGATGATTGTCACATGATTTACTTTACATGACCTCTGTGAGATAGTGGAGGTTAAACAAAAGTTTATTTTGTTTACTTCTCATTTCCATACTTCATAGCCATGGGTTCCAGAAAAGTGTTGTGCCTTTAGCAAAATCAACAATAGTGAGCAAAAGATGGTGATAGGGTGGGAGCTGGAAGGACTGTCACACTGTGCCCAGCAGCTCTCAGAGCACAGGACTAGGCATATAGAAGAGTTCAAGGTCTATTCTCCTGTGTCTCTGGCACTACTTATTATTGTTGTGACTTCGAGTAACTGGTAACATCTACAGAGTCCCCAGAAGACAGATATCCTAACCTACCTACTGGCAGAAAAAGCTGTAGCAAAATGATGGCATTTACTCTATAAGCTGGAGATTCTCACCAATGTTGCTTCCTTAGAGTGTGATTGATGTTGGTATTTGATTTTACCTGAAGGATTAGGGTAAGATGAAATATATTGGTCAGGAATTCAGCGGCATGTGAGAAGTGCTTGGGGTCTCTCAGCTTCCATCATTCTCAGTTAATATGTTTATCTTTATATTAGGTGGTAGAATATCACTACAATTTGGAATAATATCACTTGTGCTGCGCTGAATGTGAGCAAAGTCTTCATGTTGGCAGATAAATTGTTTCTCAAAACTCTCATTGAATTATTTAAACAGAAGGACTCAAGAATAGCTTCCTGATAAAATGGCACTTTAAACATATGATATGGGTTTGCTAAGGTAGAGCCTACTCATGTAACAAGCAAAAATCAATAATGCAGCCCCCAGGGTGTCTCAGTTGTTAAGTCTCTCCATCCACACCCCCACCTCCAGGAAGTTAGTTAGAATGGCTCCTGTAGGGTGGAAATGGATGATGGCTGAAGAAAGCTCATAAATCTTGGTGAATAATTTCCAGGCAATACCAAGAGGCAAATTGTAATTTTAATGACAATCTTGCAGGGAAATTGAACTTCCCTTGAAAAAAAATATTTTAAGCCAAGAAACTTTGTTTTCATCCTTAGTCACTGCCTGAGCATGTAGATCAAAACCTATCTTCTGTTGTTAGGTGAGCACTCTGCACAAGGAAAAACCAAGAACTGACAGCTTGATGAATGCTCCCTACACCTGAGCAATAAATATGTAAGTTTCCTAATTCTGTTCACTGAGATACTCATTAATATCTGTTTTTCTTAGCCTGCTGCACCTTGGATTATTTTTTTAAACTTTTAAAACCTGAAAAGTTAATGGTTTGTGTCAGTAAAATCACCATTGTCTATTTGTCTAAAAACAAATCCTAAGAAAAGTTGGCAGAAAAATGGATGTCTTGGTGGTTGTAGATTCTTCCAATTGCCCTACCTGTCTAAGGAACAACACAATTCACTCTTCTGGCCTGATAATAATGTCTCCTTATCAATGCAGTCTGTCTTTACCTGGGTCAGTAAACACACACTTGCTGTGGCAGTTAGACAAGTTTCCATAGCTTAATGATGGCTGTGCTTGCAAATTTGCAGTTCATTGCAGGAAAAGGATATAGTACAGGAGCTACATTAAAGTAAGGATGGACATCACAACCACAGGTTGGCTCCAGGCCAGGAGTCCAGAGAAACTTAGTAGAAGATCCAATTGCTTTCCCTCTTTTGATGGTTATATTATGATTCTCCTCTCTCTCTCTCTCTCTTTCTCTCTCTCTCTCTCCCCCCCCACCCAATCTAGGAACTACAGACATGTGCACCAAACACCTTGAACAAGGTGTATAAACATGCAAATGCAGCCTCAGTTGACATTTCTTATACTCAACTGGTCACATAGTCATTTGCTATAAAACCAAGTGATGGACAGAGCCTTGTAGGTGTCTCAATGAAAGCAAATGCTCTCATAATTAATGCTTGATGCCTTGTAGAACCTACAGAAGAATCTGTCCTTTGAAATAGGCAATAAAAAAACAAAAGAACTAATCAATGCTACCTGTCCAGAATGGTTGATCACAATGAGGAAAGCATTCAGAGTGAGGAATATCATTGTCTTGTTCACTACCTGTATCTGTTGCCCAGCTACTAATATGGTGCTATTATAGACACTCAGTCATTGCTTGTTGAATAAATGGTGCTTGCCATGCTTCTCTGTCCAGTAGCAGAAGACAGAGGCAGAGAGTGCCTATCCAGGCAACATGCATCAGTGTCAGACTTCCATCCCTCTGTAGGCAACAATGAGGGGTACATTAGAATGAAAAGAACATGGGAGTTTATCCTTCCTTTTGTAACGGACATGTTTCGGTGCCAACTTTGAGAAGCTGGGTGTGGAGACATGTTGACCCGGCTTAACTATGAAAAGTTTCCTTTCAAGCCATCTGTGGTTTCTTCACAGCCCAGTGGCTAGTAAAGGGATGCTTTCTGGATTACCAAATGCTCAAAATGTGGAAAGTAACTTTCCAATTTGGAGAAAAATAAACTCTCTTAGGTTGAGAAAAAGAAAAATAGAAACTGTATTGGAGGTGAGGCAAGTTAATAAAAGAATTGCCCAACTCCCATTTCTTTCCATTTTTGTGCTTTAAAAAATATTCCTAGCCACTGATTTCACAGATTTTGATTTGTAGAAGCACATTACTTTTGTCATTCTTCTGTGTAATTTTGGAATTGTATAACCATGTTCTGAAGAGTAAAGACCAGAAACTAATGGGAAGAAACAAGTTTGACAACTGTCAATTGTATTGTCTATCTGCCTCGCTTTTTTCATTCACATACTTATTTCTATCACTGTACTGGGAATTTAATAACCAATGACTAATTACCTTCTAGGTTGTCAACTATCAACTCAGAGATTCAGAATTAATAGCAATGTATTTGTCAGACTTGGAAGAGTTAGGGAAAGAAGTAAAGAAGTCTTTGAATCTTTGTCTGGCAGAGTGACTCAGGTGGTAGAGTGTGTGCCTAGTAAGTGCACAGCCCTAAATTCAACCCTAGTACAACTAAATAAAAAGTCTTTGAATCTCTATGCAACCGCAGGTATAATAAAGAAATAATCACCTATGTTATATTTTCCAGGTTAAGGATGTATTCCCATGGTAGAGTATTTGCCTAGCATATACAAGGCCCTGAATTCTAACCTCAGTACTGTAAAAACAAAACAAAAAAGGACAAGAAAAATCCATCTCAAAATAAGATTCTAGATAAATTTGATGCTTGCTGCTTCATATACTGATCTTCTATTTGTCCAGATAGGTTACCTTTGTGCCAATAATTCTATTTAATATAATTTGGCAGGGCAGACAGCTATGATTCTTATGAGCTATGATCCTTGTCTTCTGCAAAGAGTTAATCTACTAGATGAACAATTAGTAAGAATTCTTACTAATTCTTAACAATTGTTAAGAAAACAATTAGAGAAAAATAAACAGCTAAGTGGGCATGATTGATGCTGGCTCATTAATTCAAACTCATCCTAAAGTCTGTAGGTTGATAGAGGTTTCAAAAAATATTACTCTTCCATTACAGATTTATGACTATACTTAGGGACCATAATATTTAGAATTCAAAAACAGTATGATTTAAGCTTAAACTTTTTCTATATAATTCACTTTGATCCTAGCTATGAGAATAAAAGTGATTCCATCTTCAAAAATAGCTGGTGGCACCCTCAAAATAGATATTCGTGCTAAAAATCATTGAGATAAGGTTGAAGGTCACTAGAATCAAAGATGTGTGATATATTTATTGTACCCATTTCTAAACTTATTAGTGCTCATCTGCAGGTAAAATGTGTCCTGACATCTTTTCTGGGATCAATTCTCTTATGACAAGGTGTAACAAGAATGACATAGCTTAAGGGTATCATTTGCTGTTACACTGAACTTCTCCAGGGCCAGGATTTCTTAGTAAATATGAGGAGCAGGTAAAGTACATTCCTTTCTTATCAATGTCTGTAAATGTTATGAGCAAACTGGTTAACCGTGAGTATGGGGGCAGGGACATTAATGATATCCATATGGGGGAAGACGTATAAAGAACTAAATGTAAAAAATGAAAGAAGCAGCATAAAAATTATGTTTTATTGTCTAATTTATTAACAACATTCAAAAACATATCAAAATAGGAAATTTAATGGAAACGATAGGAATTCTATTACACCATGACTTAAAACTTCCAGACATAAAAAATTATAAAGAAAACTATAAACAAATTTGGGAATATGTATGTGACAAATATAAGGTCAAATTAATATCTTAAATATACAAAGAAGTTTATATAAGTTAAGAAATAATAGGAAAATGAACAAAGGCCATGAACAGGCAAATCACAGATGAAGAAACAGAAATGGTAATATAAAACTAGGATTCCTGTATGACTAGTGACAAAAGTGTGAATTAAGACACATCAACCTATCTACTTGCTTGAGGTTTTTATTCCAATTTTTAAAAATCAGCCAGGCACCAGTGGCTTACTCCTATAATCCTAGCTACTCGGGAGGCAGAGATTAGGAAAATTGCAGTTCAAAGCCAGCTCAGGCAAATAGTTCATGAGACCCTATCTCCAAAAAAACTCCTCACAAAACAAAAGGCTAACGGAGTGACTCAAGGTGTAGGCCCTGAGTTCAAATCCTAGTACAGCAAAAACAACTCATACTAGTAGAGCAAATGGTTTTATATGCCACATTTTCAAGTGTATATTGGATCAATCATTTGACAACACTTAATTAATGTAGTATTTACTAAGAAACAAACTGTTCACATTTGTCACCTAGTAACTTCATTTTACAGAAATTTTTATAAAGCAATTATTTAAAATGTGATTAATGATTAATAGACAAAGAATGATAGCAAACATTTAAAAATACCCTAAATATCCAATTATATGGAAATTGTCTGTCTTGACATTACACAACTAGTAAAAATAATCCTTAAGACAATTTTAATAGCATGCAAACATGTGCAAGATATAAAATTAAACAAAGAAAAGTAATTTTACAACTGAATAGACAGTCATCTGTGAGCTCTGTGACCAGTTATTGCTATTGTCAGGGAGGTGGCTGTTGCTACCTGCTTGTCCCTCATCTCCATTCTGTTCCAAGACAGCTGTCAGGCTGAGCAAGGAAGAGACTTTCAGACCAATGAAGAACTGGGAAGAATAGGGAAGCCTAGTGGTTTGTATGAAGTTGCCAGTCCATGAACCCTCAGCAAGGAGGAATGTTAACTATTCTCATATCCAATTCACTGTTCTTCTGTAATTTTTTAAATTACAATCTAAAAATCTTTGTGAACTTCCAGAGAAGGTTAATATGTTTTTCAATTATTCTTCCTTCTTCCTTCATTTTTAAAATGCAATAACAAGGACTAAAAGGAAGAATCCTAAGACATTTATCCTCTGATATGACTCTACAGCCTTGAACAAATGTCTTCATGATGTTTTACACTGGCTTCTTCACCTTTAAAACCAGAACAAAATGAGCTTTTCTCTTAAATATTGTGATTCTTTATTTGTTAAGTGTTGTCATTAGTGTTAAAGAAACCTGTTGTGAAAACTTGTGATAGAATCATTTATTCATTATAAAAATCACAGATTTGCAAAATTTTGTGTTGTGTGGGATCCAGTAACCATTAAGTCTTCTATCTCCGTTAATTAAACCCACACAAAGTCTTAGAGGTACAAGACCTCATGAAAGAAGGAAAGTACTGATACTGGTAAAGATATACAAACTGAAACTATCAACTAATGAAAAAAATCATTAATGAAGCATAATGCATTTTTTGTGATGCTGCTGACCAAACTTAAGTCCTCATGGATGCTTAGGCAAGTGCTCTCCCACTAAGCCACATACTCAGTCTAACAAGCCAAGATTCATTTGTTAAGAAAGATTCTCAATGTGGAATTCATGCTAGCAAAACTCCAGTGGGTTGCCGATCTTCGATAAAATGGTTAGAAGAGTCATTATGAATATTACACACAAATCCAGATGTTTACCTAGTTGAACTATGCTATAAACTTGTGACTTCACTGGAAAACTAATCTATAGAGGTGTATGACTCAGTTGAACTTAAAGTGATAGAACCTTACTTCTTGCCAAGTACTAGGCCAGGTATAAAAAGCAATATTACAAAGTTTCTGTTCTCGAGGAGCTTGTACAAGTGGGGAGGAATTCACATAAGGAACACACTTTTTATATAATAAGGTAAATGATAAGATAATGGTATGTAAAGACAGATAGGGTACTCAGAAGTTTGATGGCAAATTCCTTAGATATGGTATTAAGCTGAGACTTATAGAACAGTTTTTAAAAAGTGGCCTAGGTGAAAAAAGGAAAGATTTTCTAGGCACATGGAACAGAATGAGTAAAGAAAATTGTGAAACAGGATGTTATATAAACAAATGATGAAATGTCTACAAGTTGTTATAGCACACTGATATTGCTACAACATGTAATTACATTTCTAAAACTATGAATTTGTAGCTGATTACACATTTTTGAAACCAATCTGATCGTACACAATAAGCTACTTAGAGAGCCCTGGCCTACAGAATGCAGTTCAATGCCAACAGAACTGGGAAATGAAGCTGAAGTAGCGTATATCATGGGAGGACTTACTTCCCAGTGTAAACCTTAGCAGACTTCACAGGTGAGGATGAGCAGTAACTTTTCTCTTTCATTAATGTCATAAACAAGTTCTTATTTATTTTGGATATAAGA